CAGGATCCATCCTGGAGAATTAAATTAATAATTATTCTTCAATGAATGCACTTGCACATTTGTGGTATGATGTTTCTGTAGGTCCACCAGTCATCGACATTACCCCTGGAACCAGGATCACCACTATCGTTGGCGAGAGAGTGAACATTGAGTGTGTGGGTATTGGAGATCCCCCACCGACCGTTTTCTGGAGGTCTGGACAGAGAAGGCGTTCTGACGTGCTGCCCGAGGCTTACGATGTTGTGAGTAGAGAGATAATAATTATGTGTCTTCCCAGGAACTTTCAGAATGCTATCAGGTCACCTGGGGAAATGGTACAGATTGCAAAGCGCATAGATCTTGCTGTTGAGCTGGAATTCACGCTATACAAATGCTATTTGGTCGCTTTTAAGGACAAGTGGGCTAACCCAGATTTTGGGGGTTTCCAGAAATCTTGACCTTCACCAAAAGTGGTCATTGCTCTACCTATAGGAGAAGTTTGGTTTCATTGATGTGTATATTTGTTTGGTTATAGAGAAAACTCTCCTTGTCTTTTAAAGAATCTGAACAAGGGGCAAAAACTTTACTTTCGATTTTCTGGTCTGCTGGGGAAATGGTAGGCCTACAGATTGTGAAGTGCATAGATCTTGTGGTAGAGCTAGATCAAATAGAGCAGCTTCTGATCACACAGATAACAATATTGTAGGGTATCGAAACAATTAACTACTAACCAGTTGTGGTGGTAGCCATCTCCAGTTGGGGCTATGGCAACACTTAGGTGTGTAACGTACAAAAAAAACGTTATAAGAGTGAAGAAACATGTATTCACTTATTTAATAATGTATTTATCTATTTGTAAAACATTTTCCTTTGTGTTTACTCTAAGACTAACAGATAATTCCAAAACCCAAAATGTAGCACACTTTATTGTTATTACTAAACACAAAAGCGCCACATTATTTTATTTTTTTTTAAGGGTATTTTAGGCACCCGATATTGCAGACTTGTCAACTGTCCCAAATTTCCCAGGACTGTCCAGGATTTGGCAGTCAGGAATGAGAGAGGATGTTACCTAATACCCTGCACCAAAACCAGTCCTACTTTGTATAATTTTGTTTGTTAGTATATAATTTGGGTGTACTGGATTAGGTTGTATAAAAATTGACAAGCCTGATCTTTTGAGATAGGGTGAAATAATGCATATTTCTTTGTATATTATTATTTGAATTGCTCTAGCTCTTCTGTCTGAGAATGATGCTAGGTGCATGTTGATGACTGATTTTGTCCAAGTATGGACATGTTGTATGGTATATATGTTTTCTTTGTAGACTTTTACTCAGTGTGCTTTACAATAATGTAAAGAACACAAGCACCATACAGTTTCAATAGTAATCCTTTCTTTCCATCTCTCTTTCTTTCTCCTCCCCCTCTCCATGTCCCTCTCGCTCTCCCTCTCGCTCTCCCTCTCTCTCTCTCTCTCTCTCTCTCTCTCTCTCTCTCTCTCTCTCTCTCTCTCTCTCTCTCTCTCTCTCTCTCTCTCTCTCTTTCTCTCTCTCTCTCTCTGTGTCCCCCCTCGCTTTCCCTGTATTTCTCTCTCTCTCGGCCCCTCCCCCCCCCCTCATTTTTTTCTTTCTCCCTCCCCCCCCCCCCTCCTGCAGTCAAATATTTGTCAGTGTCTTAAGTAAGATATTGTTCAAACAGCTTCCCCAATCCATAAACAAATCTGGGTATCCAAGTGCTGAAAGGTGTTAATTGTTCTATCTTAAGGTGACGATAGCTTCACTAATCCATAAACAAATCCGAGTATCCGAGTATCCAAGTATCCGAGTGCTGAAGGGTGTCAATTGTTCTCTCCTAGGGTGACGGCACCGCCAGACTGGTGTTCGATTCCATCTCCAAGACGGACGCCGGACGCTACATTTGCATCGCCACAAACGATCGTGGAAGAACCGAAGAGACTGTTGATGTTACTGGTGAGACAAACAATATATGGGAGTTTTCCCTTTCAAAACCTAGCATTATGGGTTTATTTTTCTTTCTTCATCATTATTTTCTTCCCCACTCTTGTCCTTGGGAGTAGTTGAATGTTGCTTTTTCAATTTCTGCAAATCATTTTTACGTATATTTCCATTTTGCTGACTTAGCTGTAGCCTTCACACTGTAGCCTTCCTCTTATTTAACCCTATCCGTACGCCCTGGGGTCATTTTGTACCCCTGGGGTTGTACTCTTCACATTTTAGAATACTTCTAGTACGGAGGTCTCTTTGAAACTTTCAGTATTTCTTTTAAAACAATCATTTTGACAGACTACTATGCAAAGCGTACGGATTGGATAAACGAGTAAATTTCCTCCTTGGAAAGTGGTGGCATAGAGTTCCCCACATCGTATGGATACGATAGTAAAAGACGACGTACGGATAGGGTTAACACAGCTGAGTTATGCTACTTAATTGCCAAAGGAGAATAAATCTTTATACATTTGTTGATATGTTTTGCTTACTTCACATACACAATGATATGATCTTGTATAATTTGTCGATTTGAGCGCAATATATTTTTGTCCTTGTTCATTTGTATGTGTGGTTATTTGTTTTTAAAAAAGTATGAAAATGTTATGCCTTCCTTTTCTTTGTGGGTGGTTGGCAGGTGTTCTGGTGTAGTTTTCTCCTTCTTTCCTTCTTTCCTATTTCTCATAAACTGAAACTGAAACATCTAGAGTCCTTATCTCTCTTCCTCCTTCTTTTCATTTTATGTTACTCTAAAGTAAAATCTCTAATCTTCAGCACCTATATCTATGTCCTATGTTTGTGGTGTGCTCTAAAACTCTTATAAAAACTGCAGGTGGTTGGAGGGCGCCACTGGTAGGTCCAACTTCTTTACATTCCCTCTGTTGTTTCTGTCTGTCTGTCTGTCTTACTTTTTTTCCTCCGCTAAATGACCATTATTGTGTCGATGTGCTTCTCTTTTCTCAAATAAACAAACAAATTAGTCAAACTAAAACTTTATTTTCTTTTTCGTTTCCCCCCTCTTTCAGTCTTTGATTGAGAAATCCCAGTTCATTTGTACACGTGGCTGTTTAAATTGCCCCCCAAAAGAATGAACGGGTTATTCATTTTTTTTCTTTTCCTTTTTCCTGTCTTCCAGTTCTTGATTGTGAAACCCTAGTTAATTTGTACACATGGTCGTTTGGGTAAAAAAATTATGAAAAGATTATTCATTGTTTTTCCTTTTTCATTTTCCTCTCTTCCAGTTCTTGATCGCGAAGGCTCAGTACAGCCAGAGGTCATCATCGAGGGACCCGAGCGTCTGAGCGTGCGTGTCGGTCAATCCGTTGAGCTGACCTGCTCCTCCCAAGGACTGCCCAACCCAAGAATCCGCTGGAGGAGACCTGGAGGCGAACCTCTGCCCCCTGGCCACAGTGTCCGCAACGGCGTGCTATTTATTCCGAGAATTGAACCCGAGTACGCTGGAGAATACATCTGCTCTGTCAGCAGCGAGGCGATCTCCACAGCTCTTGTTTCTTCCATTTACATCATCGTCAGTGGTGAGTCTTTGATGTTCTTTTTGTTGAGCGGGAATTTGCACAATACGTAATATGGTATCTGTCTATGCTATTTTTATTATTATTGTAATTGTTATTTTTATTATTATTTTTATTATTGTTATTATTATTATTATTATTATTATTATTATTATTATTATTATTATCATCATTAGGCTATCATTATTATTATTATTAAATTTGAAAAGTCTACCCAGTCTCATACCCTTTTTTAATTCCCATACTATGTACAATGATGATGATGATGATGATGATGATGATGATGATGATGATGATGATGATGATGATTACTACTATTATTATTATTACTACTATGTGCTTTAGACCCTCATGGTGGGCTGATATCCAAAAGCTTAGATTATAATCATCATCAAGTGCCAGATCTGAGACAGACATCGGTGATCGTGGTTCTTCATTCATTCCTTTGCCCAATGCTCTCAAAAATGCTACATCATCCTGATCTCTCCCTGTCACCCATCTGTTCAGGGTTCTCAAAGCTGGTTGCTCTGGGTCTACCTCTGCCTCATTTGCCCTCAGTTTTTCCCAGTGAGATAAAAAAAATAGATATTTTGATACGTAGCTTGGCAGATAGAGAGATTGTTAGAATTGTTCTAAGTAGGTAGATGTCCGAAATATCCAAAATATATACATATATATTCAGAAAGATAAAAAGATGAAAAGAGAGACACAGAGAGAGAGAAAAACATAGAAACAGACAGACAGACACAGACAGACAGACAGACAGACAGACAGACAGACAGACAGACAGACAGACAGACATAGAGAGAGAGAGCGAGAGGTTAGTACTTATTATTCTCTCCAAATACTGACAAAAAATAACTATCTTCTTCCTCAGTGACCCCAAGACTGACCATCTCGCCCTCGAGCGTGGCGGCCAGGCCCGGCCAGCCTATCTCCCTCACATGCCAGCCGGCCGGTCAAGGACCGTTCAACATCGAATGGACCAAGGTGGGAGGCACTCTCTCCCCTCAGGCCCGCGAGAATAACGGTGTCCTTGAGATCCGTCAAGTGACCCGCGCCGACGCAGGCACCTACAGATGTATCGCTAGCAACGCCGCTGGATCGACTGAAGGATTCGCCGACGTCACTGTGCTGTGTAAGTCATGTTGAGGATAAGCTTTTCTTTCATCTCTCTTGATGTGAGCTGAAAATCTGGGTCATTAGCCATGAACTTTTTTTTTTGGTCCCATTACCCATGTACTTAAATATTATTAGTGGGTGGTTGGCAGGGGGTCTTGCGTTGTTTGCTCTTTCTTTGCTATCAGACATCTTTCGCACTTATCTCTCCTCCTTATTTTCTTGTTACATTATTCTCTAGTAACACCTCTAATCTTCGGCATTTATATTTATTTACCTATTTGTATTGCAAATGCCGTAAAACTTTTTCTAAAACTAAGAAGTTGTTTTTGGTTACAAAGCTAATTCGGTATCCTCTTGGGGACCAGACACTGTTTGAGTGCAAACTTATTATTAATTTTTATTTTTTTTAAAAAAAGATCTTTCACTTATTCTTAATTTTAGTGTGTTAGTAAGGGCTGATATGTTTTGTTATAACGGCTGTCCTTACATGCGTATATAATTAATGTATGGTTATGAAAGTTCTTAACTCTATGTAGTTGAACTGGTTTTTCTTGTTTCTGGGAAAAATTTTATCTTTTGTGAATCACTCAGTGATCTTGTGATTGATGTAAAGTGCTCTGAGCTTAGACTCATATGGCATGGGATATCTCTCTTGCCCTTTTTAACTCCCAGTGGAGCATAGGCCGTCAAGAACATTTCTCCAGCGAAGCCTGTCCTGTGCATCCTTTTCTAGCTGTTTCATATGGGATATAGCGCTGTATAAATGCAATCTATTATTATTATTATTATTATTATTATTATTATTATTATTATTATGATTCAAATAGATGAGCGTCTGACAGTTAGTCAGATTACAACTTTGGTCAAAACGCCTGCTAATTGTTCTGGCTTCATCTGTGTCCACTCCAGCTCCCCCAGTCGTCAGTGTAGGACCCAAACAGCAGACCCTGGCACCTGGCTCGACCTTTGAACTTCGCTGCAACGTCCAGGGAGATCCTCAACCTGTTATCCGTTGGGACAAGGACGGAGGTGACCTGCCCCTGCAGCACCAGATCAGGAACGGCGTTTTGACGTAAGTTCTTTCTCCGGCCAGTAGTTAACAGTACCAGAAGATTATTCAATTTTGACGTAAGTTCTTCCTGCAGTAGTCTATGGGACCAGCAGATTAATCAACCTTTACAGAATGATGACAGTAAAGAAATATTTTCTACCTTCATTACCCATGTACTTTCTTACATTTGAAGATGAAAGTGAAAAAAAAACCCACCAAAAAAACCCACCATAATTTACATTTTAAGAAAGTGAAGGAAGTGGAAATTCAAAGTTTGAAAGTCTGTATCGTAAAGTCAGTACAGCAGTTCTTTTACCTTACGTAGCAGAGCATATATCCAGGTTATAAATGGGATCATGTGCAGAGATGCTGGATAACATACAACACCTTCTCACCCTCCCCCCCACCCCCCACCCCCCACTTCACCTCAGATGGATAATAAGACGAGTGCTTTTGTGCCAATGATAGAATAAAATTCTGAGAATCTTATTCTGCCTTGAGAGAACTCCTTTTCTCTTTGATACTCAGGATGCTATCTTTGGAACCAAAGATAGAATAAAGTTCTGAGAATCTTATTCTGCCTTGAGAGAATGCCTTTTCTCGCTGGTAGGATGCTATCTTTGGTGCCAAAGATAGAATAAAATTGAGAAAGCATCTTTTCTCATTGATACTACTCAGAATGTTATCTTTTGTGCCAAAGATAGAATAAAATTCTTAGAGTCTTATCATGCCTTGAGAGATTACCTTATCTCGTTGAGACTCGTGAAACTGTAACCTTTTTTGTGTTAACTCTCAGCCTGTACAATCTCCAACAATCTTGTTGAAAACTCTTGATGCTGTAACCTTTGTTTGTGTTTCCTGTCAGCCGATACAATCTCCAACAATCTTGTTGAAAACTCTTGATGCTGTAACCTTTGTTTGTGTTTCTGTACAATCTCTGACAATCTCGTAGAAAACTCTTGATGCTGTAACCTTTGTTTGTGTTTCTGTACAATCTCTGACAATCTCGTAGAAAACTCTTGATGCTGTAACCTTTGTTTGTGTTTCTGTACAATCTCTGACAATCTCGTAGAAAACTCTTGATGCTGTAACCTTTGTTTGTGTTTCTGTACAATCTCTGACAATCTCATAGAAAACTCTTGATGCTGTAACCTTTGTTTGTGTTTCTGTACAATCTCTGACAATCTCGTAGAAAACTCTTGATGCTGTAACCTTTGTTTGTGTTTCTGTACAATCTCTGACAATCTCGTAGAAAACTCTTGATGCTGTAACCTTTGTTTGTGTTTCCCCTCAGCCTGTACAATCTTCAGCCCGAGGACACCGGACGCTACATCTGTACGGCCACCAGCCAGGCTGGTTCGGCCAGAGATTTCTCTTTCATCACCGTGGAAAGTACGTTATCTGCTTGAGCTAGGAGTTGGGGGAGGGGGGGGGGTGTTGTTGGGGCTGTTGGGGGAGGGAGGGGGTTGTTTTTTTGGTGGGGAGTTTTTTTTTGGGGGGGGGAGTGAGGGGGTCATTTTTTAAGTGAGTTTTTTGTTGTTTGGTTTTTTGGGTTGTTGTTTGTTTTTTTTTTTGGGGGGGGGGGTTGTTTTATTTTTAAAGGCATGAAATTGTACTAAAATATAGTTGACACAGATTTCAACTTTAAACAGTTGGTATTGTTAAAATATTATCTCAAGCCAGGCTGGATCTTCCAGAGACCTCTCTTTCTTCACTGTGGAAGGAATGGAATCTGCATGAGCTGGGAGTTTGGGGTTGTTTTTTTTTGCTTTTACAGGCTTGAAATTGAACTGAAAAGTAGTAAAGAAAGATACCAACTATAAACAGTTTATATCTGTAAGAAATCACTACAAATGAAAATTTCATTCATCCGGCCGTATTCCTTGGAACATGGGAAGTATTGTTATTCTCGGTCACTTGACAATGACTGAATAGAGTACGGTTGTCACATCAAGGTCTGTAAACCACATCCGGCACAGTGAACAATTATTTCCAGCCTGCAAGAGAATAGATAGTCCATCCTGAGAATTTCTGTAACACAGATCATTGCTCCAAACATAAACGAACTAGTTGCCAAGGAAACAGGCCAAACATCTAGCTCTGTGACAAAATGACATAAGAATGAAAACTGGTTTGTCTTCATTAAATTTGTTATTATTGTAATTGTCATATGTTTAAATTCATATCATAGTTTTAAAAAAGATGAATTTTCCACTGCTCAAAGAGTGTTAATTCTGTTCAAAGCTCAACCTAAAAAGCAATTTGAGTTTGGTCCCCTGTGCGTGCGGGTTCGACACCAGTCAACTCAAGGATGCATTTTGATTTTTCTTTGTCTACAGCTCGTGAAACAGGAGGAGTTATTACCACCGGCCCCAGCATCCAGTACGTGGATGTCGGAGACAGAGTCGAGTTCGAATGTGTCGTCAGCGACGGTAAGTGTTGGTGTTTGTTTTGTGCATATTTTGTCGGAGACAGAGTCGAGTTGGACTGTGTTGGTGTTTTGTTTTGTGTATATTTTCAGATGTATGTGTTTGTTTAAGTATAAGTATAGGTGGTATGTTTTGTGCTTATTTTTTTAGACGAATGTGTTTGTCTAAGTATAAGCATGAATGGTTGGGGGGGCACTCTGTTGTGGTTTGTTCATTCTTTCCTATCAAACATCTATCCTCCTTTTTTTCCCTTTTCTTTGTTCTGTATGTTACTCTCTAGAAAGTTAGTGGTTGGCGGGTGCAGTTTGCTTCTTCTTTCCTGTCAAACATCTATCGTCCTTATCTCCTCTTCTTCTTTTTTATGTTTGGTACTCTCTTATAACACCTCTAATCTTCTGGTGCTCATATGACCTTATGCAGTTGCGAGCACAGTAAAACCTCTACTAAATCTTTTTTTAAACTTTCGAGAAACACCTCTAACCTTTGTCACTTAAAAGTTATATGACCTAGTTGTTTTGCAAGTGCCATAAAACTTTCACTAATACTAAAACTAAGATGATCACAATCAATTGTTTGACTGGTAATGACATAAGAACGACATTAGTCCCAAATCATTTCACTGTGTTCCTAGCACTGAACGACGTAAGAACGACATTAGTAACAAATCATTTCTCTGTTTTCACAGCTGTGTCACCACCCACCGTGTCTTGGGCCAAACTGGACGGTGTCCTGCCAGCCTCTGCCATCATCGGAGAAAGGATCCTCATCATCCCCGAGGCCCGCCCCGAAGATTCCGGAGTGTACCGCTGCATCGCCACCAACAATGCTGGATCTGTCCACCGCGAAGTCCAGCTTGTCGTTCAGAGTGAGTTTTTAAAAATCTTATATTTATATTTCTGGGTTCATATGTTGCAAATAGCAGTCTGCTGCCTGCCCACTATGTGACTACCACTCAGAAACAGTGGAACATCATCTGTTCTGTAGAAAACTAACTGATTTAAGGGGATGTTCTCTTCCCAAGCTACCCCATACATCTAACTGCCTCTACTCCTTAAGACAACAATTAGAACAGACATGCAGCTATTACCGAATGGCATCATGAAGAGTTAACGCTCAGATGCTACTAGATGGCTAACAACAACAACAACAACAACATATGTTTCAAATTGTATGTTACTCTCTACATGTTGCAACACCTCTAATCTTCAGAACTTATATATGACCTATTTGTATCTCAAATGCTGTTAAACTTTGATTTAAACTAAACAAAAATCAGTGTATTAAGTTATAAAAAAAGACTATCTGTTTGGATTTTCTGGTTTGTGTAGCAAGTGCATAAAAACTCGTACTAAAACTAAAACTTACCTCCTCATATTCTGATATATTGACACTTTCTACACTCCCCCCCCCCCCCAACCAGGCCCACCCATCATCTCTGTGCAACAAGACTACACCACTGCTGCTCTGGGCAGCCCCGCCCAGCTCCGATGTGAGGCCTCCAGCTTCCCCGAGCCCAGGATCTCCTGGATGAAGGAGGAGGGAGACCTGCCAGAGTAAGTGATGGAGAGAAAGAAAGATGAATAATAATAATGATAATAATAAAATACTTTTATATAGCGCTCAACCCCGATTAAAGTACACAGGCTCTGAGAGCTTTACAATACAGTACAACATACAACAGTAACATAAAACGTTGTGTTCTGACTAAAGAAAATTACTCCAAATATTCATCTTATTAATTTAAAAACAGGAAGTTAGAGTAAATATCAAATATGGGTACAGAAAGAATGAAAGAAGAAAGGTCAAAGCAAATAAAGAAAATAAGAACGAAAGAAGAAATGTCGGAGTAAATATCGGTACAGAATTAATAAAAGACGAAAGATCAGAGCAAATACAGAAAGAAAGAATGAAAGACAATAGGTCAGAACGAACACAGACTAAAAAAGATTGAACACTTCAAAGGAGAAACAATCAAAGGAACTCAAAATTGTGGGATTGAGAATATGTTAAGTATGTGCACTATGTTGGATAGTTTACTCTCAGGGATTGTCAGACTGAATATTGGGCTCTGGCCTGAGTTAGAAACCGTTTTAAACTCTTTTGAAAAGCTTGCTGATGATATTTCATAGAAAGACAGCGAATAAAATGGTTTAGCCACCTGTTACATATTTCACTTAGCCAGCCAGCCTTGAGAGCCTATAACACTAAGCACTCAGGCTATAATGGAAAAGGAAGGCCGCGCAAAAGATGGATCGAGGGTGTCATGAGAAAACATAATAATATCACAACTGAAAGAGTTGCGGAGCTGGCCTACCATAGAAAACTGCATCTCCCCTCGATGCTTAATGGCAACAGAGGATAAGTAAGTAAAAATAAAGTAAATAATGATGATAATATGATGTCCTGACTGTGATCTGATTGTTGTTCCCCGTTGTGTGTCTCAGCGAGCACTCTGTGACAGATGGAGGAGACCTGTACATTCCCCGTGTCCGTGAGGAAGATGCCGGAACCTACAACTGCCTGGCCTCAAACCGCTTCGGAACCACTCGTTACCCGGTCGTGCTGCTCATCGGAGGTTTGTTATGAGAGAGAATCTCATCTTTACCCCCCCCCCCCCCCCGGGTGGTGCCACTACAGAAGTGTCTTTAGGCCATTCCCAAAGGGGGGGACATTAACTTAATTGTTCTTATGCACAGTAGACTGTAAATGGGCTGATTCATCAATGCCATGCTCATAACTGTGGCTGAACTGCAACAGTAACTGCTGCTTTTTCTTTCCTAATCCTTACTATCGTCATTTTTTCCCTCTACTTCTTTTGTAAGTTTGTCACTCTCTTGTGACCCGCTATTTCCGGGGTGCCTTGATAGTCGAAGCAGACTTTGTGCTGTTGAAGCTAGAGAGGCGAGCAGAGTAAGCCTGATTCCCTGTAAAGACTTCTGTGTTGACATCTACCCCTTGTTTGTTTTTTTATGGAGCCTGGAGGACCTGAAGTAAACAGCAGCCTTTGTGCTTGAGATGGGAATATCCATTTAGGGATGAACAAGAAAAAGAAAACATTTTTTAAAGTTTTTTTTTGGTTTTATTTTGTTTTGTTGTTTCGTTTTGCTTTTTTTTTTTCAATTTTGATCTGTTGTGATCTAAGAGTTATTGAATGGCTTTGGAGTCTTTTTCTTTCTTTTCATGTTTTGTTTTTATATTTTTCCTTGTTTTGAGGCTATGTTTGTATTGTTTTTCTCTATGGAAGTTGAATTGGAAATTTAACAAACCCCTTTGGGATTATCATGGTACATATTGGTATATTGGTTTTGAATAATGTTTAAATGGGAGGGGGGGGTTGGAGAGAGAAGGGGGATAATTTTATTTTGATTTCTTGGTATGGAATTTGGAAATGTTGTAAGAAAGCAAAGATGAAGGATGATAAGGATCTTATGACAATTTGTTAGCTGTTTTGAAAGTTAAAAATGATTTTTTTTCTGTCTGTGATTGCTTGTTATCTCAATTAATGTTCTCTATTCCACAGCACTGGTCCCATATTTCACACAAAACCCAACATCTTACATGGCCTTCCAGCCTCTGAGCGAAGTCTATCTTGACCTTGACATTCTTCTGTCCTTCCGTCCGGAATCCACCGACGGAATGGTTCTGTACAACGGACAGTACGACACAGGCAATGGAGACTTCATGTGCTTCGGCCTCAATGGTGCCTACCCAGAGTTCAGGTACTAAAACTCAATACATTTATAAAATAACAATAGTAAATGACATTTATATAGCTCTCAACCCCGATTAAAGTACACAGGCTCTGAGCGGTTTACAACGTACAACAGTTACATAAAATGCTGTGTTCTGACTGAAGAAAATTACTCCAAATATTCATCTTATTAATTTAACAAACAGAAACGACTTCAGTTGACATTTGAAAAAATCAAAAGATTTGATCTCTCTTCAAGTACTTGGTAAAGCATTCCAGATCTTGGGGCTTTGGTATTCAAAAATATTTCTTTTAAGTTTACACTATTATGTTGATGGGAGCTTACTACATTTGCTGTAATTGTAATAAATTACATTTATTTGGCTCATTTTCACTTGGTAATTGCTCAGTGGGTTTAACAACAGTAGAAAGAACTTGGTTCCAACTGTAATCCTTTCACCTCACCCCCCTCTCTCTCTCACTCTCTCTCTCTCTCTATATCTCTCTCTCTCTCACTCTGTCTCTCTGTCTCTCTCTCACTCTCTCTCTCTCTCTCTCTCTCTCTCTCTCTCTCTCTCTGTCTCTGTCTCTCTCTCTCTCTCTCTCTCTCTCTGTCTCTCTCTGTCTCTCTCTCTCTCTTTCTCTCTCTCTCTCTCTCTCTCTGCCTCCCTCCCTCTCTCTCTCTCTCTCTCTCTCTCCCTCTCCCTCTCCCTCTCTCTCTCCCTCTCTACAATTTTACTACCGTTACATAGATGAAGATGGTAAAAAAAAAATGTTACATTGCTCTCACCTCTTGTGCCCAGATTTGACGTGGGTGCTGGACCGGCCATCATCCGGGGCAAGGAACCTCTGGAGCTGAACAGATGGCACACCGTCCACCTCAAACGCCAGGCCCAGAACGGTCAGTCATCCATCATGAACTCTTTTGTTTTTTATCTCTTGCCCATATAAATCAAATTGACGCCATATGATTAGTAAAAAACAGTGAACATTCTAGTGTTAGGTTTGGGGCATACGTAATTAGTGTACCATGTTTGCACCTCCTGGTGACTAGGGCCTATGGTTCAAGACTTTTTCTGCTGTCAGTTTATTGATTGATAAATCATTTGAGAGGCAGCGTGGTGAAATCTGGCGCTCGTCAAAATAATGAAAGTGAAGAAATCTGTATTTTTATGGACATTGGGCAAATGTTTTCGAATTTTTGGGGGGGCTCAACATCGTTAATGTCCGCTTAAAAACACATTCATATGTGGATTTTAGTGAAAAACGTTGATCAAAGGCACAAAAGATGTATTTTGCTTTTTCCAAGGACTCTCAAGCTTTGGTAGTCACCAAACTTTGTCGGCCACTTTCTAACTAATTTTACTTCTGAAACCAAGCAACACCATTTCCTTCAATTGTAAATTAATATCTCAACTCCTATTCAAGATAGGTGTGTAATTTTTTCAACGAAAGCAAGACAAATGAACAAGTTTTATGGTGATACCAATAACCCCCCCTCAAGCCCAATAATTGACGAGCGCCTGATTCCCCCATGTAGCGACACATTTTCATGCTTATACATTTTTTTAAAAATGAATTAAAATGCAATGGTCTCCCAAAAATGAAAGAATGAAAGCTCCGCAATGAAAAAAAAAAAAGAAAAAAAAAGAACTGTAGAGGCTAAAAAGCTGTCCTTGTCCTACTTCAGGTGCCATGATGGTCAACGACGAGCCCACATACTCGGGAGTCGCCCCCGGACAGTTCCGTGGACTGGACATTGCCCAGCCAATGTACGTCGGCGGAGTGCCAGACTTCAGAATTGTGCCAAGGAGCGCTGGATTCACCTCTGGATTTGTTGGTAAATTATTGGAAAATGTTTCATCATCATCATCATCACCATCATCATCATCATCACCATCATCATCAGCATCATCATCATCATCATCATCATCATCATCATCATCATCATCATCATCATCATCATCGTCATCATCATCATCATCATCATCATCATCAATGCCTCCCTCACCCTGCATCAGGGTATAGGCCACGAACAAACACTGTCCACCTTTCCCTATCCTGGGTAGTCCTCTTGATGAAAATACTTATTATGTTTTATTTAATGCATTTCACAAGTTCTAATGAGGGATCAGGAAAGCAAACATTTAAAAATGTCTTTTATTTTCTTTTGGGGAATGCTTTGGGTTGTAAAAAGATACAACTGGTTTGTTTGTTTTGTTTGTTTTTTGGGGGGTTTTTTAAAATTATTTCTCCTCCTACAGGCTTGATTTCCCCCAGCATGAAAAGACCATTGATTACTATTTAGATGCTCTAGTCTCTCGACTCAGCTGCCTTTCTCAAAGAAAGTGATAATCATTTGCAACAATTCCTATAAGACAGTACTGAAGAATAATCAATGTTGTGGATTGGTTATTTCAATTTCTGAAGGTATTATCTAATTTATAGGTACACATTTAGATTTGCGGTCAACTGTGATCATTTCCCCATAAGCACTTGTATTTTAATGCATGTTTATTCTTTTCATTTCCCCCCAAAACACATAAGCTAATACTGAATAAAACTAGAGAAAAATACAAAATTAAACAACAAATACCTTTTGATGATGGTGTATCTTGTCAGGTTTAAAAAATATGCAAATTATAGCCGTTATTGTTAATATATACACACACTCACAGTTTTTCTCTTTTACTTATGATAATGATAATATAACATTTATATAGCGCATTTCCAAAAATAATAACTCAATGAGCTTTACATTGGAATACCCATTTTCAAAACATTTTGTACTACGTCCTTTCTTCTCATACAGTATATATTTGTGCACGCGCGCACACACACACACACACACTATTTTCATTCTGATGTAGGCACAGAACAACTATAATTAAAAATAATGCTACAAAGCTCATGAAAGAACTACGTTGAACAAAACGAGACAAAGAAAGAAGAAACAACCAATAACTGTGTGACTACCTTGTCTCCCCCTCAGGTGGAATTAGCCAGATCGAGATCGGCGGAGTTGGCCTGAACCTCGGTGGTGAAGCTCGCCAGATCGTTGGCGTGGAACAGTACCAGGTGTGTGAGGAGACTTTCTGTCTGAACGGAGGAGTGTGCACGCCCTTCAACAACGCCGTGGGTCGCATCTGCGCGTGCCCTCAGGGATTTGCCGGAGCTCGGTGTGAGCTGCAGGGTGAACAGTGCTACCCCGGTACGTCGTGAATGTATTTGTTGTGTGTTGTGTGTGTTGTGAGTGTTGTTTGTGTACGTGTGTTTGTGTTGTATGTGTTTGTTGTGTGTGTTGTTTGTGTTGTGTGTTTGTGTGTTGTATGTGAATATGTTTGTTGTGTGTTGTGTGTGTGTGTGTATGTTAATGTGTTTGTTGTGAGTTGTTTGTGTGTACTTTTGTGTTACATGTGTGTGTGTGAATGTGTTTTTTGTGTGTTGTTTGTGTGTACGTGTGTGTTGTATATGTGTACGTGTGTATGTGAATGTGTTTGTTGTGGGTTGTTTGTGTGTATGTGTGTGTTGTATGTGTGTATGTGTGTATTTTGTGTATGAGGTATGTGTGAGTGCATCTGTTTATATATGTGAATACGTTTGTGTGTACGTGTGTTTATGTGTGTTTCTGTGTATGTGTGTTTGTGTGTGTTTCTGTGTGTGTGTGTGTGTGTGTGTGTGTGTGTGTGAGTACATCTGTGTGTGTGTTTATGTGTGTAATCTGTTAATGTGAATCTATCATAGCTGTGACTTGTCTGTGACCTTCAAGTTTTATTCATGTTCTTCTCAGGGTGTTTGGCATTATTTGATGTGAAGTATATACTGAAACCTGCGTCTTTCTAGTCATCTATCCCCACACAGTCCTCTAGTAATTGTCAATTTACTTGAAGTTTTTTAATGCCTGGAGTCTAAGTTTTAGACCTGAAGGATAATATAGTCGCTTTTAAGCACAAGGGGGCTGTCCCAAAAAATGTTGTTTTGAGAAAATGAGAAGGTAAAGCTTTTGGACCCCTGTTCAGCTTCTTTAAAAGACAAGGAGATTTTTCTATTTAACCTAACAAATATAATACACACCAATGAAACCAAACATCTCTTACAGGTAGGGCAATGCCCACTTTTGGTGTAGGTCAAGATTTCTGGAAACCCTGGCTTTACCCGTGTGTCCTTAAAAGCGACCATATATATAGGATTAATTGAGGGTAAACTGCATTTATTTATATTTTTGACTTTTAGGAGCTAATCTCAAAGTGACATTTGCCTTTCATTGGTTGATTCTGTTTTCCCGTCTAGGTGCCTGCGGACCATCTGGCCGGTGCCACAACCTCGCTGGAAGCATGGGCTTCCTGTGCGTCTGCCCTATCGGTTATGGAGGAGAGGGCTGCAGACAGAGTGAGTTTTGAGTTTGAACCCCCAAAAGAAAAGAAACTTGTCTATTTTTAGTATACTATTTCTTCTTGTTTTTCGCATTTCTTACTCTCATCCACTATTTATTTCTCTTTTGCGAGTGTTGTCTGTTTAGTAGTAAATTAGCCTACTACATTGCTATCAATGCCATCCTGTCTTATGTAGTTTTATGCATCACCTCTGCCTTCTTTCTATCTTCTTTCTTCTTTCCTCTTTCATTTGGATGTTTTCCCTGTCTTCAAAATGTCTGTTTTATATCTTAGAGAAAAAGAAACATCTTGAAATGTGTTTTGTACTTTGTTGGGAGTAAAACATCTGCGCTTCTTCAATTACGTATGTCTCTTCAGAGTGACACTGGTAAGTTTGGGTTTTTTTTCCCTTCAGCTTCATATTTTTGAATTGTTTTGTTTTTTTAACTCTGACCATCTTTAGGCAAATGGTACCCCTATGGAAACCATTCACCTTTGTGAAGGAAATATTAGCTTGTAGAGCAAAGGAAATGACTTCAACACAACTTTCTTCAACGTAGGACAAAATTGTAACGAAGGCGTAGAAGGAAAAAGACAACACACTTATATCACAAAAGTGAGTGATGACTCACTCCCCAGTGTTGGCACGATGTCATTGCGTGGATGTGTATTTGCTTGTGTGTGTGTGTGTGTATGTGTGTGTATGTGTATGTGAGAGAGAGAGAGAGAGAGAGAGAGAGAGAGAGAGAGAGAGAGAGAGAGAGAGAGAGAGAGAGAGAGAGAGAGAGAGAGAGAGAGAGAGAGCCAGCATATATGCTGTCGCTACAAGCCCAATTCTAGGCAGAGAGACCCAAAACTCTATGGGAGCCTACAGCAGCCTTTGCACTAGAGACTTGGGTATCCAGTTAGACATGAACGAGGAGAAGAAGAAGAAGAAGAAGATTTACCCTCGTCATCTCTAGCTTCAATTTTATTTTCCTTCCCCAGCCCCAAGAGTGGTAGACCCATCCTTCAACAAGACCTCCTTCATCTCGTACCCAACAATCTCCGGACTTCTGTCCGTCCGCATCCGTCTCATGTTCAAGCCGACCTCCCTCGAGGACGGAATCATCCTGTACAACGCCAAACAGCAGGACGGAAAGCAGGACTTCATTGCCCTCCTCATCAAGGACAGACATCTCGAGTTCCGATTCGATACCGGTTCAGGTAAATGGAAGAGTGCTTAACTTACTCCGGTTATAGAAAGGTTCACTTCACCAGTCAAATGACCCAAAAATAACTAGAGACACAGACACAGCTTTATATACACCCCAGACCCTTTGTTCCCAGAAGCCCTGAATCTCAAGACAATGTGAGAACTGCTCATGGGAGTGTTTACAGTGAAAGGGAAACAACTGATAATATAATGGACAAGCAACTGTGGTGAATTATGGATTATGTCCCATATTATTACACTGGTCAACACTTTGCAGTCACTTGGCGCAATGATGCGACGGTGAAAATTATCTGTTCCGGTCACCTGGTGCAGTTCTGCGCCAGGCTTGAGAAGTCCGTTGCAATCACTCTCCTGGCTGGGTGACCAGATAGGGTATTTTGTACTGCTGTCTGTGTAACTGCAACTTTTTCTATCTCAATTTGGACAATTGTTGAATTAGAGATTGAGTCCCAATTTTGATGATTGTCGAAACTACGTGGTATGTTTCAATGTTTTCTAGAATTGTCAAGGCTTTTAATCCATTTGGCTTGGTCTTATCAGAGTCGAGCATTAGATTTGAATGTCACCACGCCTCTTAAGTAGGGCCTAACCTTATAGTGTTGAAAGTGGTGTTAAACCCATACATTTACTAAATAGGATTAAGTACCTTTTAATTTGGTTGCCGAATCCTGTCCTGGGAATCTGGGAATCGAACTCCCAGCTTTTTTACTACTAGTCCTACACCATATATACCATCTGACTGAGTCTAACGACCGACTTTTTCACTACTAGCCCAACACCATATATACCATCTGACTGAGTCTAACGACCGACTAACGATTCTCTCTACGCCTCCAGGCCCAGCTGTGCTGAGAAGCAGACAACCCCTGCAGGTCAACGAGTGGACAATGGTGGTGGCCAACCGTAAGGGCCGCGACGGTATGCTCATCGTGAACAACGAGGAGTCTGTCAACGGTAAGTAGAACACACCGTGTGCTCTCACTGACATACTTAGCCGCCCTTATCTAGAGGTTTTGCAATGACTGTAATCTGTGCATGTCATGTATATTAAGAAAGAATTCTGTTTTTAACCAAATTCCCACCATATTATGTTGATTTAATCATTATATTAGTGTAGGGGATCTTCTTTTAAATATTCAAGTTATCCTATTCAAAACAAATTTTCCAATAGAATTAGTTGATTTATAGTGATAATAATATTTAATAATGTTAAAAACAATTTTTAACATGTTGTTATAATTTTTTTTATGCTTGATCTTGAGTGGCCTTAAGATTTTTGGGACATAATTGATTCCCTGGCTTCCTATAATTGCTGTTGTGACCACGGGGTTGCTATCATGGAACACACAATATTATCACGGCTTGACGGAGGGGCTTATCTGGAGCCATGCAAAAAAAAAAATCTGCTCAGCTGTTACACAATTGAGTTGACGATATTTGCCTTTCCTGTTGCGTCTTGTCTTTCTGCGCATAAATTCCTGTCCTTCTGATCTGTATTTCTTCCAAGTGCATAAATTCCTGTCCTTCTGATCTGTATTTCTTCCAAGTGCATAAATTCCTGTCCTTCTGATCTGTATTTCTTCCAAGTGCATAAGTTCCTGTTCTCTCAAGTATTTCTGTCAATTGCATAATCCTGTCGCCGCTGTCCCTGGTCTGATTATTTATAGTGACTCTCCATGTGCAGTGAAGCTCTGTTATAGCCTACAGTCTACCAGGCATATTGTGAATGCACACAAAGCGAAACACGCACCTAGCGAACAGATTTTCAGGTCTCAAATTTTTTCTTATAAATATATATATTCTTGGAATTTAAAAAACATAATATACATAACAAAAAGATTTCTGCTTCCCGCTGATTTCACTATGTGTGCGTTAGACTGTATGTGATAGTTGGGGTTCAGTAATCATCGCCTTAGGAAAGAAGGATTGACTCTAATTTGGGTTTAGCAGTAGAAATACAAAAAATACAAAGGACATTTACCATGTTTCCTTTTCACCAATCTTTCCATAATTTTTGTATTTAATTTGTTTGTAAACTATTGGCAAGTCAGTTAGGTTTTTTGGGGGGATTAACAAGCTCTCCAACATTTAAACCAAAAGTTAAAGGGGATTTTTTTTTCATTGGAAGAAAGAGGATTAATTAGTGATCCAGCTTATATCTAAATATTTATAAATAATTTTAATTAAGTCGTCACAGGTAATGGTAGGGTTTCACTGGACATGCTTGATTGATTCTCTGATCTTTCCTCCTCCTCCTCCTCCTCCCTCCCCCTCCTGTCCTTTTGGCTCTGGATATTTCCCTGTGCAGCCAGTTTTTTTCAAAGTTTGCATGCGACTTTACTTTGTTCACAGTTATGACAGTGAAATAATTCTAAGATTACTAAGAGTTTCTTTTCTTTTCAGAGAGTGTGTAGATACAGAACTTATCTAGCTAAAATTGTAGAGTAGAATAATGTTAGATCTATGTTTGTTAATATCTTTACTTTAATTTTAACGGAAGTTTTATTTTTTTCTCTCTGTCCTTACGGTAGCAGTATTTTTTTGTTGACTAGTTGACTGTCTTTTTCAACATGTTTAGTTCATTTTGTTGGATTTTTGATATTTTTGGGGGGTCTTCTTCAATTCAACAGTTTACTTTTCAAAGCTGAAGGTTATTATGTGTAGGAGTAATAATGGAATTATAGATTACAAATTCCAGCACAGGAAATATTGATAATCTTATAGCTAAAGACTTTTTTTTTTAAAATAACAATACTTTTTGGTAAAAAGAAGGTGACTGAGGTTAGCCTTATTCTACACTTGGGTACAGTGGCTTACTTAATAGGGGCCTACTGCTTCTCTTCTTTTTTTTTGAGCCTGTTGAAATATATATATAAAGTGGAAAGTCTTGGTTCGCTTGTACATTTTATGTCCACTTTTCTTGTCCCGTGGAATATTTCTTTCTTCTGAACTATAGCGCCCATCACACCATTATTGCATGATAACTGGGGAAGGGTGGACCACCAGAATAAATCCAAATTCCACCACCAATTACAACAACTACAACAAAAGTATTACTACTATTCTCCTATATTGGTGAATGATATTTATGATATGATATGATATGATATCTGTCTGTTGGCATACCTTCCAATTTATTGTGATCTTGTGTACTGGGAATAGGATGTTATATGCAGCCCTGTTACGCTTTTGCCTCATACTTTCTGTTCATCAGTCAGTCTACGCTGTATTATGTTTCTTATGTTTTCTTAAAAGTTTTTTAATAGGCCTATATAGGTATCTTCAGGACAACACATAGTAATGTAATGGGTAAATTTGTTTCTTCTGCATTTTAATTTTGCGGTTTGATATTTCTGAACTATCAGTCTGTCGGAATGAAGGGATTCTTTATTGTATCAACAAAGTTTGTTTGGGGTTGAGGGAGGGGGTTGTCACTTCAAGTTCTATTCTGTCATGCCAGGTTAAATGTAATGGTTTTTGTTTGGTATTTTCGGACATTGAAACCACGCAAAAGTTTTACCCAAAATTTTAAGGTTTCTGTCTGTTAGAAAATCTTAAAAGTGTGAGAGATCTTTTTTCGATACGCTCTTTTTTTTCACAAAGTAATTTTAGAAACATGCTGATGCAGTTGCAAGTTGCCATTTCTGGACACAGTGTTGTGCAGCCAGGGATGTTTTGTAATCTGGTTTCACCTTATCTGTAGAATTCAACATCAAACGGCGAGCATAATTAGGCAGACATCCTCCCCCCTATAGTTTACATACTCATTTCTCTTTCCTCTCTCTCTTTCTCTGTTTCTCTGTGAATGTCTTTGTTTCTTGGTAGTATTTTTATGCATTAAACTATTGCTCTGCTCTCACCAACTTGCCCGTCTTAGAACAAGTTGAACCAAACGATGGTCTCCTCTTCTCCCGACTGGAGCGCGGCGATGTCATCAGAGGTATAGCACTCTGCAAACGTTTTGCCCACACAAAAACGACAGCAGAACACTTCAGCATTGAATTCGAAAGCTTGTGATCTAAGTTGCTTTTTATCTCTGGACACTCATCTTGTGGTGTCGTCTGAAAACCCTCCGCACTTTTGTCTTTTGGGCATCTCATTAAGCGTTACGGTGAACTTCCTCTTAAATCATTGCTGAGTAAAAGAAAGTCTTTCTCCAAACTGAATGTTTCCTTCAGTGTAATCAAAAAGATGAGATTTCTGTTTAATCAATTGTTTGGTGATGGTTGTTAAGTAAGATTTTACTTAAACTTACTTTCAGTTTTTTCCAGTTTGCCTTATTTTATAATGTGCTACTCTTTAATTGCTTTACACCTTTTGTCAAATAAAACTGGTGGTGATTTTTGTAAGTAAGCATCCACAAGGCCTTATTTCCTTTTAACTTGTGTTACATGTTACCTCAACTTTTAATGGGTCACCTGGTGTGCCGATTCTAGCATTTAAAATATAGTGAAAAGACCAGCTCTGGGCCTCTTGCCTTGAAATTTAAATTCATTTTCAGAAACTGCTAATGAGATGCTCAAACACACTTGGGAATGTCCGTGCAAAACAAGTTTTCTAATCTTTAGTTTCACTATTTATCTGTTTATGCTCTTTTATTTTGGCAAATACAAGAACATAATGTGCTTGTTTCATTCGTTTTACAAGTTCTTTCTCTACGCGGTATCTCAGTTTTGGCTACACAAACTGCCTCACAAGCTCACTCTATGCAGACATTCCAGTATTATGGTTGTTAGCTTTTGTCCTTTTCTGCCTGGCAAAATATTGTGATGTGAGAGGTTTAAAAGCTTCCTTAAATTGATACGTGTAATCATAAAACTGCTTTATAACAACTGATGGAAGATGACGGATGGACTCAAAGATGCGTTGAAAAGTTGCTTCTGTTTATTTTTCAATAATTTCTGTTATTTTAATGCTTTGGTTTTGTTCATTATACTTTAGTTTTTGGCTTTTGTGTATATTTGAAAGCATTTTTGTTTGTGCCTTTGCTTTACTAGCATGCGTTTTTGTATAACTTCATGTGTATATAACCAGCTTTACTTGTTAACAGTCACCTTGCTTAATGAAATCACTTAGAATTTTTGGTGAATTTGATGCAATTAACCATGAACTATAAGACGATTCATCACAGGGATGCAGCTGTTTTGAAAATTGTACTTTTTACTGAACAGAAACTATTTGTTTGGTTTTTTTCTTCACAACATTTAATTTTTATATATAATAAATATTTCATTATATTAAAAGAGAGTGTAGATACATTCAGTAAAACATTTGTAACAGTTTAACTCATGGCGAATATCAGGCTTTTTTTAGAAGGCCTATAGACATTACAATTACCTTATCAACATAGTTAAAGACTATTGAGGACTGCCGTAAATATTTCTACATGAGACTTGAATGGGAAAGTGATTTGATAAAAAAAGACGATAATATGGTTCATTATTACTATGTCTATAATAAAGTATTATCTTATCTTAACTTTTATTATCTTATTCTCAGGTGTCTGGGAATAGGTGGTGGAAATCAATTACTTATTGATTAACAGGTCAATGAACTCTTAGCCTGTATTATGTTTGAGGTCTTGTTCTAGCTCTCAAACAGACACACTTATATAGGCGACTGTTTTCTGAGAGGTGCAGTACCTTGACGTGATTCGTTAAATGTTTAAAGTAACCCACAGTTGAAAAAGTTTTATGCAGCCTGTTTGGAAAAATAGACAACCAGAATTAAATGAAGGTAAAAGAAACATGAATCTTGGGAGTAAATATCTTGAAATGTTTTGAGGTCTACAGAAAATACCCCAAAAAACCGTAGTAGAATATATATCTGGTGTTTTTAAGAATTTTTGTTTCCCAGAAAGTATCAAAATTCTAAAGGGTCCAATTATGCTCTTATTCAGGGATTATTCAGCTGTTAGATGACATTTAAAAATGGAAAATTTTATGACAAGAAAGATATAACAATCATTGGAATTATTCTGCGCATGTTTTCACCATGGAATACATCACGATCTTTGCATAAAACATACACAATGTGAGAAATATCTCAAAATAACCGTCAAACATTAGAGTCTATTACTTCATTGTGTTGGAACAATGTGAAAGATTCCTTTGATATCTGAAGAATTTCGATAATGCCCCAATCATACTGTATTTTTCTTTGGCTTTTTCATAACATAGCTCAGAGCTTTTCTTTTTTTAACGAATATAATAAATTCAGAGCAATGGGCGAGGGACTAGCGTATAATTTTTCCTATCAAAATTGGGTACTTAAAAGATTCTATATAGCTATCTTATAGTCAAATTTCCATGAAACACAGGACAAAGCACTTTTGCACAAGTTTATTTTTCATTGTGGTTGGTTTTTATTTTTGTTTGTCTGCTTGAATAATATTGTGATTTTCTCACATGTTTTGGTTCCTGAATAACTCCTAATACTTTTGTGATTCTGTTTTTGGATGTGAATGTGTTGTTGGTGACAAAATCTTAAAATAGTCTCCCTTTAAAAAATGAAATATTTCAAAGAGGGAAGTCAGAATTATGACCTTTTAAAATTTTATTTTTTGTTGACTACTTTTTTACATTTGAACAAGTTTTATAGATTATTTCTATCTTGTCATTGGGTTGTTTTTTTTTATGGGAAAACGTATTTTAACGAGTAATTTTTAGAACGTATTGACTGAAACAAGGACAGTTGTAAAACTTTCTAATATTTCAGAACATTCCTAAAGACTTCAATTTCATACTCTGTGGTAACTATTTGATAACTGACAAATTCATGAGAGAAATATTAGAGAATGTTTTGTGTATTATCAAAGGGTCAAATTAAGTCAATTCTTTTTGTGACAGCATTTTTGCTCTCTGCTGACTTTCCTGTGATACAGAAATAATATATCAACGTTCCCTTTGTGTAGTGTTGTCTATAACTCACTGCTATACCTCCTGTTTCTTTTTGACGGATGTAAAACTTATTTCATACATGTTTTCGGTCTTTAATTAAGTCTACTTTTGTTTGCAGTGTTGCTTTTCTTTTGCACACTGTATTGGGATTTGATTCACTCCGTGATTTATCACAAATTTTTATTTTTTCCTCACTACCAAACGCTAGGTAATGGAAAATAATCACTTGCTTCTTTATAACACCACACACCATTTCTGTAAAGAAGATTCAACTTCATTCATGGGGAACACTTTTTTTCACTTCATCTTTAATCAAAAATACATTTCTTCTTTCTTTTCTTTTATTTTCCTATATTTTTAAAACTTTAATATAATATAATCAATGGTATTTCTCGTCTCTCTCCCGTGTCACCTCGGTACACAGGCACAGCAGGAAACGGCGGCACCGTTGGCCTTAACCTTGAGCGACCTCTGTACCTGGGTGGTGTGGATCCCCGTGAGACCATCAACCCCAACGTGGGCACCCTGGACGGCTTCATCGGCTGTGTGGGAGAGGTAAGCTCAGACCCCTGGCTCAGACTCCGGGCCACTCACCGCAGCTTGCTGGTCGTTTTAAGTTTTGATTTAAGAATGGCATTTCTTTAAATCTTTCTCACTATGCTGGGGCCCTCTTTTGGTGCTAAATCTAAAAATGATTAAAAACGTCATTAAATTAGTAATTAAATCGAAACCAGCAAACCTATTTTGATAGTTCTTCTTTTGATGAATAAACTTCCAGCATAAGAGACCTGTTTTTGGCAATTGCCTAAAAGTAATTTGATGTCGAAGTCGTCGTAAAGGAATGTGCCTGAGCCGCTGTCAGCGATTCACCGACACAGTGGTTCCGACCGCGAGCTGCTGGGAGCGGCTTGCCGGAGATAAAGAGTTAATAAATGATAAAATAAATCGATTACATTTTATTTATCTAAAGGGAAAATTTGGATTACAGTTACAATGGCAAAACATAGGCCCTACTTACATAGCATAAATACTTAATAAAAAATACATAGGTACATAAATACATACATAAATACACTTTATTACACCAATACAGAACAATTTCTCGAACATGCCATTTCTGGGTGCCACTGTGCAGCGCCCTGTTCTTTCTTTTGAGCTAGGGTCATCGTGTCGTGTCTGGTCTTGCTCAAGGACACAGCCCAGTGACCACCCATGGGTAAATCCTATGTCACCGACACTTGCTTGACATTACTAGTCACCTCCTAAATGAGCAATAAGTCACAAGACTATATTCTGTTGTTGGGGGCCAATCCAGGCTCTTTGGAATACATCTTCCGAGCAGAAAATGGAAATGCTTAATAAATTAAATGAGGTCTCCCTACTTAGCAATCAAACCCAATTTTTCTGTGAATGCAGGCAAAGACCTGAACATTACACAACAGTTCCAGTCAAGGAAAAGCACACTCAAAACTCGGCATAAGGTGTTAAAGAACCCTTGATGAGTGTGGAAAACGACCTGAACACTTAAAAAAGCGAAGTCATCAAGGTATAATATGATAATTTACAATAATTGGGAATAACCCAGCGTTTAAATTTTTTTTCTTTTTGTTTCTTTTTAGATAAAAATAATATAGAAATCATGATTAATAAGATTGCGACATTTTTCCGTAGCTGAACATCGGAGACAACACCCTTGGACTTATCGACGACGCTGTGGAGAGCATGAACATCCAGGACTGCGGCGACCGCAGCCTGTGCGAGAGACGACCTTGCCGTAACGGTGCCACCTGCATCGACGTCTCGCCCACCGAGTACAGCTGTGTCTGCCCAACCCGCTTCACAGGTGAGTGACTCCGCTTCTTATTGCAGTTCTCTAAAATAATTTACTACATGTACATTCCTCTTTTTACTCAAAGTAAGAAATTTAGGGTACTTGCAACACAAATAGGTCGTATAAGTACTAAAAACTAGAGGTGTTACAAGAGAATAACGCAGGAGTCGCCGCACGGACTCTTCTGTGTGAAACAAAACACAATGAGTTTATAAGAGTGGAATGCTATTCATGAAAAAAACCACATTCTGTGGATTTTCAAAGATTTGTTTTCGTGTTAGAGAACGAACTATCTAGTGGTGTACGTGATGTCTTTTGAGGAAAGGAGATGATCAGAAATGCAATTTTTTTTTTTTTTATGTTAAATACTGATGTTACGGTTATCCTTGTTCTCATAGTAGACTTTATTTCACTTACTGAAAAGTTTACTTTTGTTTGTATAAATCACCTTCAGGTTCCTATACAGAGTATCGTTTTATTTTCACCTTACGAAAAACTAGCTTCTGTGGTGTAGTGGTTAGATGTTATGCCAAGGCAAACAGAAGTCACAAGTTTAATTCTCGAGTGAGGATTAATTTTATCGAGTATCTCAGTCTTTCTGTAGGGATTTTCTATCCTTCTCAACACGGGTCAGCCATGACAGGCGGGATCCTAAGCACTTCTTACATGATCTAAATTGTGTCAATGGAAGTGTAAAAATACGGACATGTAAAAAAAAACGTTTTGAAAATTGGTTGCTTTTACTGACAAGCGGGCTAAGCCAGATTTCGGGGGTTTCCAGAAATGTTGACCTATCCCAAAAGTGGGCATTGCCCTACCAATAGGAGAAGTTTGGTTTCATTGGTGTGTATATTTGTTTGATTATAGAGAAAACTCTCCTTGTCTTTTAAAGAAACTGTACAAGGGGCTTTTACCTTCGATTTTCTCTAAACAGCATTTTTCAGGATAGCCCCGTTGTGCTCAAAAGCGACCTATTATTCTTATATTTGTGTATTTTCCCCTGTCTCCCCCCCCACCAGGTTCTCGCTGCGAGACTGAGATCAACATCTGCGTGGTGAGCGACCCGTGCCAGAACGGAGGCGTGTGCGTCGTTGACGGCGGTGACTACAGGTGCGACTGTCCTCTAGGATGGATGGGCCGCAACTGTGAAGCAGGTTAGTTTGGTTTTTGAAAGAGTTTGAGTCAGAGTTGTAGGGAGGTTTTAGAAAGAGTATTAGAAATAGTAAAAGTTAGAGTTTAAGTTTTAGTTGGTTTTAGTAAAAATTTTAGTGAGAGTTTTAGTTAGAGTTTTAGTGAGAGTTTTGGTAACTATTTTTGTAAGAGTTTTAGTGAAAATTTTTGTTAGAATTGTACGGGTGGCAGGGTTTAAACAGCCAGCATCCTAAATTACATAATTAAGTCTGTTGTTTGGGGTTTTTAGATTCAGTATGAGTTTTAGGGCACTTACAACGCAAATAGTTCATATAAGTGCCGAAGATTTGAGGTGTTACAGAGAGTAACGCACAAAGGAAAAAAAGGAGTAGAGATATGGATGATAGATGTTTGTTTAGAAAGAAGGATCAAACCACACCAGAGTGTCCACCAACCACCCACAGAGCAGGTTAGGACCATGGTCAGTATTTCTTGAACTTCCAGTTGTGACTTATTATTGTTTTGTGCAAAAACTCCTTGACCAACCAATATGGTCAGTGGGATATGTACACCCACACACTTGTGCTTGTAGTCTCTCACAATTACACACTTACGCACCCACATACACATACACATACACACACTCACACACACACACATACACACACACTCACACACACACACACACACACACACACACACACACACACACACACACACACAGTCTGGGGTTGACTATGAGAGCCAGTTTTGAAGTTTCCTGCTTTCTTGTTCATGTTTTAAATTGTGTAGAAAGAGGTCAAAAATGATACCTGTCTTTTTACCTTTGATTTCATTTTGTTTCTGTTTCTCCCCCCACAGAGCTTCAGGTGACCAACAGCGCAGAGTTCCTTGGCAACAGCTATGCTGAGTTCCCCCGCAACTTCCTGCCCCACCGTCGCCAGCAGACAAGGGAGACAATCCGCCTGACCCTGACCACCACCGAGCCCTCTGGACTCCTGCTCTGGCAGGGTCAAAAGGCCGGAGAACAGGGAGGAAAGGATTACCTCTCCATGGCTCTCAACGACGGATACGTAGAGTTCAGGTAGGCCACTCCGATCACTCAGGTGGTATCATGCCTGGACTACAGCGAGTGGGTGGCCTAGGTTCAAATCCCAGACTGGACATTTTTAAACTCAAATCGTATTAAGGAGTTATCAAGGCTCTGATCAAACCATCTGGTTCAATCCTTTCGGAGACAGACGTTATTTTCAGAGGTCCTGTCTCTTAATAAATAAGCCAAGAGTGGTGATAGAGACTTTAAACTCATACTCTTACTTAACTTAAGAAAGCTCATACGCCCACACTCAGCATTTAGTTTTTGCTTTTGTTTCATATTTGTCTTTTGGTTGTTGTTTTTTTTTTGGCATTGGTGACTAGAACCTTGATAGCAATATTCAGAGGCCACCAAATGACAATTTTGTAAAACAGTTAATTTGTTGAACTTTGCTTTTAGTAGATATTAATATACACAGTCCTTACATTGCATCATAGGATTCGGAAGTTGTAGTTTACAGAAGGAGAAGTATTTTCATTTCAAATTTTTATCAATTGTAGAGTTGAACTTGTCAGAGATGGCCATCCATTGTACAGGAGAAGAAATGGTTGTCTTCGACTGATAGATATCTTGGACAGTGTCATTATTAAGTTTTTTTTTAAACGTGCGAGGGGGGAAATGGAAAGTGGTTGTTTGGGCAGATGATTGTCTTATATAAGCTGCCGTCAGAGTTGCAGGTTCAACAGTATTTTTGGAAAGTTAATTCAAATTGAAACCCCTGACTCTATCGCCAGATATGAGCTGGGCAGCGGACCAGGCGTAATCAGGTCGACACAGACTGTGGATGATGGCTTCCCTCACGTCATCGAAGTGTCGCGACTCGGCAGAGACGCCTCGCTCACCATCGACGACAGCGCCCCGGTCACTGGAACCTCCTTAGGCCCGCTGCAGGTTCTCAACGTCCCAGGAAACATCTTCTTTGGTAAGATAGACATTTAGGAGTATTTTTTAATAGAATTATTGTTATGATTATTATTATTTTTTTATTTTTTTTATTACTAGCTGAGTAACCGTTGGATGAACGGACTCAAAATCATCGCTCATCATGTCATTGTGGAATCAAAACGCCACTGCATGTGAACGAAAGCCTCACTTGTTTACAATGGTGTCTTAGAAGACGGACTTTACCAAGATTAGATCTAAAGGAAACTAAGGAAAAACTGAAAATCAAACTACATAGTGACTTCAGGCTCCTTTTTAATATTAGCGTGCACCTTTTAATGATTCAGAACCACCGTTACTTTTAATGATTCAGAACCACCGTTACTTTTAATGATTCAGAACCACCGTTACTTTTAATGATTCAGAACCACCGTTACTTTTAATGATTCAGAACCACCGTTACTTTTAATGATTCAGAACCACCGTTACTTTTAATGATTCAGAACCACCGTTACTTTTAATGATTCAGAACCACCGTTACTTTTAATGATTCAGAACCACCGTTACTTTTAATGATTCAGAACCACCGTTACTTTTAATGATTCAGAACCACCGTTACTTTTAATGATTCAGAACCACCGTTACTTTTAATGATTCAGAACCACCGTTACTTTTAATGATTCAGAACCACCGTTACTTTTAATGATTCAGAACCACCGTTACTTTTAATGATTCAGAACCACCGTTACTTTTAATGATTCAGAACCACCGTTACTTTTTCACATTCTTAAGTTATGTGGTTTGGAAGTTTTAAGTGACCAAAGTGACTAATTATCACAAATATAATATATAGAATATTGTTATTATTATTATTATATTATTATTGTTATTATTATTATGTCATGATGTCTGTCATTTGGTCATGCTGCGACAAATATTTGTTTTAAAATAGACAGTGAAAGACCTTGTCAGTTTGTTAGTGTTTGAGCTCTTAACCATCTGCTTGCACTGTAGGCTTCCTGGGAAGCTGAGAATGTTTCTGAGTGTTCTATAGTCTGCTGGGGTAATAATAATATAGTGTAAAGCGCATAGAGATTGCTTTCGAGTGGGGATATGCACTATACAAATGCTATTTAATATTATTATTATCATCATTTATTATTATTATCATTATAATTATTATTATTATTATAATCATTAAATAGTTTTCTAACAATAGATTGTTTCTTTCCCTCCCCCCCAGGTGGCGTTCCTGACTTGACCAGGTACACAGGCACCCTGTTCTCCCAGAACTTCCTGGGCTGTATATCGGATCTGAGCGTACAAGGAAAAGCAATTGTCAACTTTGGTACAGACCCGATTGGAGGCATGAATGTTAGACCCTGCCTAAGCGCTTAGAAGGGGACTGTCTGCAAGCTCAGCTGAAAAAAAGATTATCATAATTCATACTATAATTATAATTATTATTATTATCTAGTGCCTTCATTAATTGCCTCCATTACTTGCTGTCATCGGTATCACTACATAATGCCATCACCAATGTTGCCTTCGTACATTATTCATGTATAAATATTATATCAGCCTGTGTTGTTGGGTGGGGGGGGAATCCTAGAGAGCTTTTCAGTACAGCTGATGTACTGTTGACTAATCCTAGTAGAGACTTACTGGATGTTGTTAGCGAGTAGACGAGAGAGGAAACCAACCCCCTGTCTTATAATTGACGTGTGTTGGAAGGGGGAGTCCGTTCCTCTGTCACATGACGTCTACGAGTAGGACGGGCGGGGAAGAAGTAATAACATCTAGGTATGATGAAATCATTCGCTCAAATGTGACGTTATGCTTTTTCGGTCACGTTTCTTTCCTCTCTACCAAATGGGCAATAGATTGTTCAAGCTAGTCCTAATAATTTTATTTTTTTTTGTCGATAACGACGAGTAGAGTAGATTAGTAGGTTTTTTTTCAGACTTGAACACCTTTGATCTTTTTGTCTTTTTGCTAACCTGATTTGTGTTATGTGAGCATGAGACAGAAAGCCCTTCCCTTATGATCAAATACTCATACAATTAACCTGGTGCTAAAGGACTTTCTGTCGGGTGTACTTGAATTAGCAGGCTTCATTGTTCAGTTTTTTTAATGTGTTTTTTAAATGTACGTTTACAGATAAGGCCTTTTTTTTCTTCAAAATTTGTAAATTTCCCGATCAGTTGGTCTGTCAGTATGTCATGTTTCTTTGTACAAGTGGCACTGAGTTTTTGTCCATGTTTAAGTATTGTATGGCTGTTGGCCAGTGTTGACAGTTATTTTGTTTGTTCGTCTGAGTTTTCCTTTTTTTTTTGTGCTCTCAATTTGGTTAAAACTCATTCTCTGCATAATAGTAGTGAAAGATGCAAGTGTTGCTTGGATGGTGAGATATAATAGACTGTTCTGTATGACTTACATGTGAACTAGAAAATGTACCACAATACTTCATGAAGAGTTCTCTGTTCTTTCTCTCCGTGTATAACTCTGCACAGTCTCTGTTTGTATCTATCAAAACGTTCATTTAACGGTTCTTGTACAAACCTTCAACTTCTCAAAGCACAATCTTTAATCAATCAAATTAATACATTCAAGTATTAGACACACTGTCATAATGCCTAGAATATTTAACAGAAGTTAAGATCTGAGATAACTTTGATTTTGTCGTAGTTATCTGTCGGCGATCAGACTAGGTAGAAGAGATTGATTGTAAATGCCAATTTCTGAAGAACTGTTTTAGACCTAGACAACTATGAAATATACATAACAATCAAATTCTGTGATTTGAATTTCATAATAAACTTATCTTTTTTTACAATGACTCACGTGTGAAACTTATAATTTTTTTCCTCTTCTTGTATATTCTGATTATTTACCACTCTACTTGAGGCACACCATTGGCTCAGTTTGATTGGTACCATGCTGGACTACGGAGCGAATGACTCTGGTTCAAGTCTGCAACAAAGGGTTCTAAACTTGGGTTGTTTTTTGAGTTTTTTAACTCTTTTTCTCCAGCAAGCTGCTCTCAGTGGCTCGCAGTCGGAACTGCTGTGCTAGTGAGCCGCTTACAGTGGCTTGGGCACATTCCTTTACGATGACTTGGACATCAAATTAATTTTCAGCAGTTGCCGAAAACAGGCTGTTTTATTGGGATTTCATTCATTAGATGAAGAACTATTGAAATAGGTTTACTTGTTTTGATTTAATCACCAATTAGTGAGGATTTTGTTATTTTTAGATTTAGTACCAAAAACGGGCCCTGGCATAATTATGGATTTACCCCCCACGGAGATAAAGAGTTAAGACTCTTCACCCTTGTGGGTCATTCCTATCAGAGATGGAAGTTAAATTCATAGGCCCTGCCCCTTGGACAACTTTACAGTGTTGACAGGGGTGTTAAAACCAACACATAATAATGAAGATAATGGTGATCCGTTCTCATTGGAATTATTCACAGCTGATTACAAAAAAGTTTTGCTCTTTACTTTTGTAGTAATAAGTTGCCTAATATCATTTTGAAATGCACAGAGGAGCATTAAGAGACCTCTGTTCCAATCTTCTTTCTGCTTTTTAAAACTTGGCTTGTTTACAAGTTGTCAAGGTTCATTAATCTCTGGGCTTAAATTGGTCCTGTTAGAGAGGAGCACAAATTCTTGGCTCACGTGGCAGAAGAAAAGTTTTGTTGAATCTTCGTTCCTGCAGGCGTTTCTCTGTGGAGCGGTTGTACTTTTCTTTCAGACTGGGTTTTTTTTTTTTTTGTTGTTGATGTTTTTGTTATTTTATGTAATGTCTCGTTTTGGTATTGATGGTACCTGTACATGTACTGTTTGGTTTTTAAAAATATTTTACTCGTAAAGTTTAAATGTAACTGTTTAGGCCCCCGTTGACACAATAAAAGAGTGGGCTTCTACGACCCTGCTGCCTGTCAGGACCAATTCCTGGGCGGAGGGGATACGACATGACGGCAGAAAGACTGAGATACTCGATAACAATTCTCCCCACTCATGAAACGAACTCAGGTCACCTCTGTGTTATGATGGAGCACCTGCCTACTACACCACAGACACCCTTTATGTAAACTGTTGAATTATATTGGTTGAACATGTACTACTAGAACTTTACAATCTATCTTTGCCTGGGTGCAGTTTTTCTACCTTAATTTCACTTCTCACTAGAGGCCACAATAATAGTCGTGAGGCATCAGTGTGAAATCAGGCGCTCGTCAAAATAAAGAAATCCGAGAAATCAACGTTTTTCTGCCAGTTTGGAATTTTTTTCTAATTTTTGTTTTTTTGCTCAACACCTGGTATGTCTATTCAAAAACACTTTTATGTGTGGATTTTATGGAAAAACATTGATTAAAGGCACAAAAAATGTAAATTTGCAGTTTTCAAGGACTCTTAAGCTGTAGAAGTCATCAAATTCAAACATTGGTGGCCATTTTCTCCTTAATTTTACATCTGAAACCAGGCAATCCCTCTTCCTTCAATCGCAAATATCTCAACTTCTATTCAAGATAAATGGATTATTCTTTTCATTAAAAGCAAAGCAAATGAACAACCTTTAAGTCTATAGTATGCCCAAAAATTGACGAGCGCCTGATTCTCTGAGTCATGACACATATTTACAGGAAAATGTAATTATCAAAAATCTGGGGTAGTGATCCTCAAATTTTTCACAAATACCTGAATTTTTTTTTACAACCAATATTATAGTAGTCTAACAAACAAACAGTAGACTCGGTACTGCATCAGCAACAAAATTTTGATTTCTGTTTTAGATTCTCTGGAATGCACCAGATCATCATGAGAATGAGATGCACTCTTATTTCTCAGACTGGGCCTTGTTGTTGAAAGAATAAAATAACATAATTTAATAATTGACAAAACTATCAAAGGCAACAGTTTCAACAACAAACCACACCATTACAAATTCGCTACCCTAGAATTTAAAAAGTTATCTGCTCAATAGGCCCACCTAGTTTTGAGAAATTAGAACTTGAAAATTTCGAGTTTCACAACATAAAATAGCACATATGGTCATAAAACTTTGTAATTCTAGTGGGGATGAGCTAGAAAATCTTAAGGTTGAGCTATAAAATTCTGGGGATGAACTAGAAAATAGTGGAGAGGGTGTAGAAAATATTGGAGTTGAGTTAGAAAATACTGACGATGGAGCTGGAAAATACTGGAGATGAGCTAGAAAATATTATGAAAGAGTTAGAAAATAGTGGGGAACACTTGGGATGGAAAAAATACTGGGGATGGAGCTAGAAAATATTGGGGATGAGCTAGAAAATAGTGGGGAACACTGGGGATGAGTTAAAAAATCATGGGCATTAGCTAGAAAATATGAGTGATGAGCCAGAAAATAATGGGGATGAGTTGGAAAATAATAGGGATGAGCTAGCTGGAAAATAATAGGAAAGAGCTAGAAAATTGTAGGGAATATTTGGGATGGGCTAGAAAATATTAGGGAAGTGCTAAAAAATAGTGGAGAGGATGTAGAAAATATTAGAGTTAAGCTATAAAATACTGGCGGATAGAGCTAGAAAATACTGGAGATGAGGTAGAAAATATTATGAATGAGTTAGAAAATACTGGGGAACACTTGGGATGGAACTAGGAAATCATGGGGAAGGAGCTAGAAAATATTGGGGATGAGCTAGAAAATAGTGGGGAATATTCAGGATTAGCTAAAATAAAGTACTGGAGAAGACTGGGGATGAGCTAGAAAATACTGGGGATGAGTTAAAAAATCATGGGCATTAGCTAGAAAATATGAGGCATGAGCCAGAAAATAATGGGGATGAGCTAGAAAATATTAGGGATGAGCTAGAAAATATTAGGGATCAGCTAGAAAATATTAGGGATGAGCTAGAAAACTGTAGTGAATATTTGCGATGGGCTAGAATATATTAGGGATAAGCTAGAAAATACTGGGGAAGTGCTAAAAAATAGTGGAGAGGATGTAGAAAATATTAGAGTTAAGCTATAAAATACTGGCAGATAGAGCTAGAAAATACTGGAGATGAGGCAGAAAATATTATGAATGAGTTAAAAAATACTGGGGAACACTTGGGATGGAACTAGAAAATACTGGGGATGGAGCTAGAAAGTATTGGGGATGAGCTAGAAAATAGACGGGAATATTCAGGATTAGCTAAAAAAAAGTACTGGAGAAGACTGGGAATGAGCTAGAAAATACTGGGCATTAGCTAGAAAATATGAGAGATGAGCCAGAAAATAATGGGGATAAGCTGTAAAATAATAGAGATGAGCAAGAAAATATTAAGGATGAGCTAGAAAATAATAGGAATGAGCTAGAAAATCGTGGGGAATATATTTGGGATGGGCAAGAAAATATTAGGGATAAGCTAGAAAATACTGGGGAAGTGCTAAAAATACTGAGGATGAGCTAAAAAATACCAGGGAAGTGCTAGAATTTTTTAAAATATATTTAGGGATGAACTAGAAATTACTTGGGATTAGCTAGAAATACTGGGGATGAACTAGAAAATAATGGGGATGAGCTAGAAAATATTAGGGATGAGCTAGAAAATGTTGGAGACGAGATAGAAAAGTCTGGGGACCATTGAAATTTTCAAAAACAGTGGTGATGAGCTAGAAAATACTGTGGTAGAGCTATAAAACAGTGGGGATGAGCTAGAAAATATTACAGTTCAGCTATAAAATACTGGGGATGAGCTGGAAAATACTGGGGATGAACTAGGAAATAGTGGGGATGATCTAGAATATGCTGGGGATGAGATAGAAAACAATTGGGAGGATCTAGAAAATATTAGTGTTGAGCTAGGAAATACTGGGGATGAGATAGAAAATATTGTGGATGAGAAAAAAAATTTTTCTTAAAGTCTGGGGAATAATGGGGATGAGATAGAAAAGTCTGGGGAATAATGGGGATGAGATAGAAAAGTCTGGGGAATAATGGGGATGAGATAGAAAAATATATTGGGGAGGTGACGAAAACTATTGCGGATGAGCTAGAAAATATTAGGAATTGACTAGAAAATATTTGAGGTGAAAAATATTAGTGATTAGCTAGAAAATGCTGTAGTTGATCTAGAAAATAATGGGGATGAGCTGTAAAATACTCATGGGGATCAGCAAAAAAAACTGATCTAGAAAATGCTGGGGATGGTCTAGAAACTATCAAGGTTGAGCTGGAAAATACTAGGGATGAGCTAAAAAATATTAGGGTTGAGCTAGAAAATATTAGGGTTGAGCTAGAAAATGTTGGAGATCAGCTAGAAAACACTGGGGAATATTTGGGATAAGCCAGAAAATATTGGGGGTGGGCTCGAAACTACTGGCAAATTTTGGGTATCAGCTAGAAAATACTGGGAATGATCTAGAAAATACTGGGAATGATCTAGAAAATACTGGGAATGATCTAGAAAATACTGGGAATGATCTAGAAAATACTGGGAATGATCTAGAAAATACTGGGAATGATCTAGAAAATACTGGGAATGATCTAGAAAATACTGGGAATGATCTAGAAAATACTGGGAATGATCTAGAAAATACTGAGGAATACTGGAAATGTGCTAGAACATACTGGGATAAGCTAGAAAATATTAGGATTGAACTAGAAAATATTGTGGATGGAGCTCGAAAATACTGGGTATTAGCTAGAAAATACTGGGGACGAGCTAGAAAATGTTGCGGATGAGATTTTAAAAAATATTGGGGTAAGATAGAAAAGTCTGGGGAATACTGGGGATAAACTAGAAAAGATTATAGGTGAGATAGACAATATAAGGGATGAGCTAGAAAATACTGTGAATATGCTTGAAAATATTAGGATTGAGCTAGAAATTATTGAGGATTGAGCCAGAAAATACTGGGGATGAGCTAGAAAATATTAGGGATGAGCTAGAAAATATTAGGGATTATAGCTAGAAAATACTGTGGATGAGATAAAATATTGGGGATGAGATAGAAAAGTCTGGGGAATACTGGGGATGAGCTAGAAAATGTTGGGAATGAACAAGAAAATAATAGGATGGGCTAGAAAATATTTGGGATGAGGTAAAAAATGTTGGTGATGAGCTAGAAAATACTGTGGTTGAGCTAGAAAACAATGGGGATGGGCTAGAAAATACTGGGGAAGAGCTAAAAATTACTGGGGAATAATTGGGATAAGACAGAAAATATTGGGGATGGCCTAGAAAATACTGGCAAATTTTGGGAATCTGCTAGAAAATGTTTGGAATGATCTAGAAAATACTAAGGAATACCGGGGGTGAGCTAGAAAATATTAGGGTTGAGCAAGAAAATACTGGGGATGAGCTATAAAATACTGGGGATGAACTAGAAACTATTAAGGTTGAGCTAGAAAATACTGTGGAACAATGAGGATGAGCTAGAAAATGTTTGGGTGAGCTAGAAAACACTGGGGATGAGCTTGAAAATAGTGGGAATGAGTAAGAAATTACTGAGAGAGAGAGAGAGAGAGAGAGAGAGAGAGAGAGAGAGAGAGAGGGGATGGGGTGGGGCTTCTTTTTCTCTCCCACTACCTTCCCTTTTTTAAACTTAGCAATACGAGATCTTCGGGAGAGATGGCACCACCATACATCAATGTTAATGAACCCTTCCCCTTATCAAGCTTCTCTAAACCTCTTGATCTACAGATGTTCCACAAAAATTGATCTCATGCATTTTTGTTTAAATAAGAAAAAAGCACCTAAATGGCGTGGGCCTTGACTTGTATAAAGTACATACTTGCCATATTGACCATATTATTGTATTGAAACTTATTTTCCAATTTTCATTTCTTCTGTTTTAATGAACACTGAAAAAAAAACCAAGTTAATTGTTATTGACTTCATAAGCCCTCCTTTGGTTTCTGTTCAGGGCAACAGGCACAACAGAAGAAAATGGTTTTTATTTTGCTATCATAGTCGTCTTGGTCCTTAACAAAGGTGTAGGTGCTCTCTAGCAATGTTCTGTCGTCTGCTTTCGTCTCCTCTTTCTGCCCCCACCCCTTCACCTCCTTTGCCCCTTCGT